GATACCAACTACATGCTTGGTTGGTAGAATGACAACTTTAGGCTGCATTGTTTCTAGGATGCCAAGTACAGGCTGATATGATGCTAGGATGTCAACTACAGACTGCTAGGCTGATAGGATGACAACTACAAGCTGTTAGGCTGTTTTGATGTCAACTACAGGCTGCTAGGATGCCAACTTAAGGCTATTAGGTTGATAGGATGCCAACAACATGCTGCTAGGTTGATAAAGATAACAAATTCAGGCTGTTAAGCTGTAAGGATGACAACTACATACTTCTAGGTTGATAGCATGACAACTACAGGCTGGTAGGCTGCCAAGTACAGGCTGATTGGCTGTTAGGACGCCAACTACAGGTTGTTAGGATGCCAGGTACGGTTCTTAAGATGCAAAATTCTGGCTGCTAGACTGTTAGGATGACAACTACATGCTGATAGGTTGATAGAATGCCAACTGTATGCTGCTAGGATGCAAACTTAAGGATACCAACTATAGGCTGTTTGGATGCCAACTACATGCTGCTAGGCTGTTAGGATGCAAAATACAGGCTGATAACTACTATGATGCCAGCTTCATGTTGCTAGGATGCTAACTACAGGCTGCTAGCTGCTAGGATACTAACTACAGGTTGTTAGGATACCAACTACAGGCTGTTAGGCTGCCAACTACAAGTTGTTAGGCTGTCAACTACAGGCTGCTAATCTACCAAGTACAGGAGAGGATGCCAACTACATTTTGCTTTTCTACTAGGATGCCAACTCAAGGCTATTAGGATGCCAACTACATGCTGATAGGATGCTAGGATGCCAACTACAGGTTAGGATGCCAACTACAGGATAGGATGTCAACTGCATGCTGCTAGGCTGTTAGTATTCCAACTTAAGGACGCCAACTATAGACTGTTTGGATGCCAACTACCGGCTGTTAGGATGCCAACTACAGGCTGTTTGGATGCCACCTACAGGCTGCTAGGATACCAACTACAGGCTAATAGCTGCTAGGATGCCAAACTGGCTGCTAGGCAGTTGGTCTATTATCAAGTTTCAATATGTTTGCTAACCAGAGATTTTTTTTATATCAAATATACTTCTAATGCCAGCTACAGGATAGGATGTCAACTGCATTCTGCTAGGCCGTTAGATTGCCAACTTAAGGACGCCAACTATAGGTTGTTAGGATACCAGCTTCATGCTGATAGGATGCCAACTACTGGCTGCTAGCTATTAGGATGCCAACTACAGGCTGCTAGGCTGCCAACTGAAGGCTGCTAGGCAGCCAAATACAGGATAGGATGCCAACTCAAGGCTGTTAGGATGCAAACTACATGCTGCTAGGCTGCCAACTTCTGGCTGCTAGCTGTTAGGATGCCAACTACAGGCTGAAAGAATGCCAACTACAGGATAGGATGCCAACTGCATGCTGATAGGTTGCTAGTTTGCAAACTTAAGGACGCCAACTACAGGCTGTTTGGATGCCAACTGCAGGCTGCTAGGATACCAACTACAGGCTGATAGATGCTAGGATCCCAAACATGCTTCTAGGCTGTTGGTCTATTACTAAGCTTTAATATTTTTGCTACCCAGAGATTAATTCATATCAAATATACTTCTTATGACATTAGAAAGTCATATCAAATATACTTCTAATGACATTAGAAAGTGATTATAATTTATTTTCAGCCTTTTTCTTATTTCTTGTTCTTGTCATTTGCAAGCTGCTAGGGTGCTGTGATGCCAACTAAGGCTGCTAAGATGCCAACTACAGACTGCTAGGCTGTCAACTACAGGCTGCTAGGCTGTCAAATACAGGATAGAATGGATGCCAACTATAGGCTGTTAGGATGCCAACTACATGCTGCTAGGCTGCTAGGATGCCAACTTATGGCTGCTAGTTGTAAGGATGCAAACTACAGGCTGACAAGATGCCTACCACAGGATAGGGTGCCAACTGCATGCTGCTAGACGGCTAGGATGCCAACTTAAGGACTCCAACTATAGGCTTTTTGGATGCCAACTACATTCTGCTAGGATGCCAACTAGAGACTGCTAGACTACTACGATGCCAACACAAGGCTGTTAGGATGCCAACTACATGCTGATAGGATGTTAGGATGCCAACTAAAGGCTGTTTAGATGCCCACTACAGGCTGTTTGGATGCCACCTACAGGCTTCAAGCATACCAACTAAAGGCTGATAGCTGCTAGGATGCCAAACAGAATGCTAGGCTGTTGGTCTATTACTAAGCTTAAATATTTGTTGCTACCAAGAGATTTCTTTTCATATCAAATATGCTTCTAATGACATTAGAAAGTGATTATAATACATTTTCATCCGTTCCTTTATTTCTTCACGCTCTTTGGATGCCATCTACAAGCTGCTAGGATGCAAACTACAGGCTGTTAGGATGCCAACTACGGGCTGTCAATTACAGGCTATTATGATGCCAACTACAGGCTGTTTGGATGCCAACTACAGGCTGCGAGAACCAACTGCAGGCTGTAAGGCTGTTGGGCTATAACTAAGCTTTAATATTTTTGGCTACCCAGAGATTTTTTTATATCAATTATGCTTCTAATGACATAAGAAAGTGATTATAACACATTTTCAGCCGTTTCCTTATTTCTTGTTTATGTCACTTGATGTAGACTGCTATGCTGCTAGGACGCTAACTACAGGCTGTTAGGATGCTAACTCAAGGGTGATAGTATGCCAACTACAGGCTGCTAGGATGCCAACTACATGCTGCTAGGATGCTAACTCAAGGGTGATAGTATGCCAACTACATGCTGCTAAGATGCCAACTACAGGATAGTATGCCAAAAACATGATTCTAGGATGCCAACTGCAGGCTGTTTGGATGCCAACTACAGGCTGTTAGGATGCCAACTACAGATTGCTATGATGCCAACTACAGGCTGTAAAGATGTCAACTACAGGATGCCAATTACAGGCTGTAAGGATGCCAACTGCAGGCTGAAAGTATGCCAACTACAGGGTGCTAGGATACCAACTACAGACTGTTAGGATGCCAACTACGGGCTGTTAATTACAGGCTATTATGATGCCAACTACAGGCTGTTTGGGCTCGCACGATGCCAAGTGCAGGCTGTAAGGCTGTTGGGCTATAACTAAGCTTTAATAGTTTTTGCTACCCAGATATTTTTTTATATCAATAATGCTTCTAATGACATAAGAAAGTGATTATAACTCATTTTCAGCCGCTTCCTTTTTTTCTTGTTTATGTCACTTGATGTAGGCTGCTATGCTGCTGAGAAGCTTTCTCGCAATCCAGAGATCTTTTTAAATATCAAATATGCTTCAAATGAATCTAGGAAGTAATTATAATTTTGTTATGTATTTTTTTGGCTGTTTCCGTATGTCTAGATTATGCCACTTATGTTACGCTTCTTGGCTGCCTGCTAGACTGCTAGGCTGCCAACTTTACGAACATGCATATAACTTAACGCTGATGACTATGATGGCTGATTTGGAACGCTTTTTGTGCATCGCGTTAGCGCTAGCGACAACAGGAGAAAGCTTCAAACGGCGCGTTGTCGGACTATCGTCTTGTCGTCCTGTCGCTAATGATGAAATTGATCGAAAGCTCGTTACAGATTTTCTTTAGTTTCAGAAATTATAATACGGCTGATTTGGTACATTGTGCGTTGCATTGTCGATACGGCGCTTTGTCGTGCGGCGTGTTGTCGCGATGTCACATTGTCGCTCGGTTCAAATCGAAGGATTGGTTTATAAGCCAAGCGACAAGGCGACATTGCGAACAACGCGCCGTTTGACGTGATTTGCCAAAAGACAGGACGATCGCGCCGTATCGACGATGCAACGCGCAATGTACCAAATCAGCACTTTTATGATTAAAATTTTTTTCTGAAACTAAAGAAAATCTGTAACGAGCTTTCGATCAATTTCAGCAATAAAAGTTTATAAAGAACTAGAATTTGTTTTTATAAGAGGTCTATGTGTACGTAGTTCTCTTTTCGTTTCAGAATTGATTTGTTAGAAGATGTAAATAAATACAAAAGCTTAGGAATTCTTTTAAATAGCAGTGGTTCATTCTAATCAGCTTAAAACATGTAGGAAAACAAAACAAAAGCTATTTACACGTCAGTTACAAAACGGATCGCATTGGTAACAGGTGAAACAGGTGAGGACTATAATTCAGTCAAAATCCATGTCAGAGTTATGGACCGTCAACGTAACATCCATTTATGAACCCAAAGACATTTATTAAGATTTAAAATAGCTTTAAAGACTGATGTTTCATGCAAAATTTTAAAGGCCCATTATGCCTCAGAAATGCTATCATTTTTCTCAATTGATGTATAATTGAACTACCTTTACTCCTTTTGCTTTGTTAGTAAATGGTATAATCATGAATTAGTATTTTGTGTGGAAGCAAAATACTACTTTGTTTACATTTTGCTACTTTTACGACATATAATTGCCCATTCAGCGATACTTCCTTCAGCTGTCAAACTGCTAATATGCTCTTAATATCTTATTAAAAATTATTAAACACGTGTTGGTAAATATCTTTTTAAAACATTATTAAACACTAATGTCTTGTTCGACATTTATAAAGATTTTTAAAATATGGATTTCTGAGGCATAATGTGCCTTTAGATTAGGTGGACTTAAAATCCGTTGAATGCATGGTTACATACCGGTGGATATTATATTGAGGGAAACATATAAATTGAAATATTCTGTTTAATCTAAATTCTTAAATTTGTTCATCATGCGATAACATAGTTATAGTCGAACTCATAACACTGTTATGTTGAAATATAATGGCCCGACGGTTTTGTCTACAGAAAATGTTCTTGGCCTTACTTTTAGAGAAACACCTTTGATGTCGCCCCAGACTATATGTGGAACGTCATTCGATAAGGCACTATGAAATATAGGTCAAGTTGTTTGCGGGAATCACATTTCTAAAAATACAGACATATTACTGCGCAGTAGATGTCGGATTTTTGGAAAGAAACTACTGTAGAAAAACTCAATATACACTGGAAAACCCCCAACAATGTGGGTATAAATAGTGTGGCTGATCATTATTTTATTTGAAATTTACTGAATCTTCTGTTCGGCTAAGGTGTGGTGATCGTGTTGCTTCATTATTTTTGTTTCACTTGTTTTTTATTGGAAATTTGTCATAAAATAGGGAGTAACTGATTCTAATATTTTACTTGATTTTATTTTCCATTTCAGAAAATAAAGGTTCAGAATGCCTGGGAAAACTCTTCAACTATTTCTGAAGGGAATTGAAGGGAAAACAACTATCGTTCGCATAAACGAGGTACGACTTTTGTTTTGATAGCTTATTTTATATAAATGTAAATGTGAACGAAGGTGCGTAGATAAATGCGGGCGTATATAACACTACACATTCAAAATTAGGTTTAGGTTTCGTTCTTACAAAACGAAAGTAGGGAATTTCGTAAATGTTCTAGAATCATGCCAAAATAAATATACATGTATACAAATTAACTTTCAAGGGTTAATGACTCTAAGTTATGCATGTTAGTCAAAGTCTTTTAACTTCACTCCTATGGATTTACAGACTAAACAGTAAAGGCAATGTAATTTTCATACTTTCGTTTTATAAAAACAAAATCAATAGTTAGTTGGATTGTTTTAGATAAGATAAGAGTATTTCATTTCAGTCTGATTCATATTATATATATATACACACATACATTTTACAGATCTAATCTACAATTAACATATGAGTGACCAATCAATTGATTGATTTGTAAGATATATTGATATTGATATAAAACACGATCTAAAACCTAAAACTATGGAAGGGTATTAACGCAAAAATTTCATCTTGCCTTCTTACGTACATCGTGCTTTCTAACTTGTACATCTTGCATGTTGCTTTCTTACATGCGCATTATGCTTTCTGCTGTGTGCGTCTTGCTTAATTGCATGTTGATATCGTTATTTAACGTTAAATTATTACATGTATTCATTTGTTGATCGGGTATATTAATTCAATAACTTAACCTGCAACTGTTTGTATTTGGCTCTATTTACTCAGCCAAATGTTTACATGTTCACATGTTTACCTTATTTCCTCCATAGTGGAAATGGAAATTTTTAAACAAAGGGACGTAATTTCTGAATCCGAACCGCAATACGGACTTTTCCGAGAATATAACTGTAGCGCCACCTGTTAGCATAATTTGGTCTTCACATATTATTACACCAGATGTCTTGTCGTATTCGACTTTCGGCTATGCGTCATTCTACCTTATGACATTCGTCATTCAAACTGAGTAAATAGACCCAAATACAAACGTTATTGAATTTATATTCCAGATCAACAAATGAATAATAATTTAACGTTAAATAACGATATCAACATACAATAAAGCAAGACGCATACAGCAGAAAGCATAATGTGCATGTAAGAAAGCAACATGTAAAAGTCAGAATGCAAAATGTACAAGTTGTATCATAGTTTGGAGACCTTTCTGTTGCAAATGTGTCAGGGTTAAATCGTATACATATACATGCACAGTGCGTTAACTGGAGTGCGGGTATTAGTTACCCGCACTCCAGAGCATGCCCATTGATTGGCTCATTTTTGCTGGGGTTTACATATTGTGACGGCAGAGAAAGAGAAAGCGACAGAAATGTCATATTCAGATGTTAGTTCATTGGTTCATTTTTGCCGGGGTTTTATATTGTGACAACAGGGAACGTGCTTTTATGTTTGACTATGATACAAAAGAGAAAGAACACCAAAACACTCGGCAAACTGATTTATACTCGGGGGCTACGCCCCCTCGTACACATCAGATAGCCTCGTGTTTCGGTGCTCTTTCTATTACTTGGAAGGCAAGATGTAATTTTTGCGTTAATACCCTTCCATATAAAACACATGTCTAAAATATTAAGATTGACTAGAATTGGTTCAATTACCACCTGTATTACAATGTATATTTTTTATAATTTTGAATGTACACACTCAACATCTATCATACATATAGTTATGCAATATTGTGTTTTTTCATTATTATTTAACGTTTTGACACAATATTGGAATAGTTGTAAAAAATGTTAGATTAGTCTTCTATGGTTATATACTTTTTATTGACATTTGAACATAAAAAAGAACGTTGGTTACGTGTACATAGCTGAGGGATGAACAAATCCACAGAATTGTGTTTGTAAATGTAATGTGACATGACAGTAGTGCAACATTGTTCTGTTTGTGTCACTACTGTAGTCATTTCTTTTTCACCTATAATGCTACTCATGCACTTTCTACAAATATCAACAACTAATCATTGTTCTATGCAAAATGAAAGTAGAGTAATATACCTTTATAATATTTTAGTCATAATTTTTTTTCCATAAAATTTATTTTTTAGGGTTTTGGGTTGTAGAGGGAGAACGGGGGTATAGTGTAAGTCATGGCCACGCGACGTTCACCTGTGGTCTGACCCACCAGTGTGTTTACATTCCTATCACCCATAACACCTCGACGAAAGTTTCTGTTGTTTAAATGCCGCAGTATTCGGCAAATCAAACCACCATTAATCCGAGTGCCTTCAAATAAAATGGAATCAACTTCTAATAGCAAATATTTCGGGACACCAGGGTAGAGCTGTCATCGATATCGACAATATCGATGTATCGTTGATATTTTTTTGTCGATCAATAATCGATACACATTTTAAAAAATCGATACTTTTGACTTATAAATTAAATGTCTAGAAATTATACAATTCACCCAAAATATATGCAGAAACAATTATTTATATCAAATGTGATGCTTTTGTAATATAGTGGAATTATTTCATAGCAAAGGTGACAAAAAATATTGTCTAGAAAAAATCATGCAGTGGACAAGACACTGTACAGAACATGTTTTTGACTGAAATCATTGAAACAGGTATGAAAATAAATGACAGACAAGTGAGTATAGGATATTATCGATATATCGGTGTATCGTTGATTTTAGTTACTTGATATCGATATATCGTTGATATGCTTTGCACTGAATCAATGACAGCTCTACACCAGGGTCGATTTAAATAATCAGGGGAGCAATAAATTTACTATAATCTTTTTCGATAAGTTAAAAAGGGTGCAATTTATGGTTGAATATGTTTGCATTTCATTCTGCAAAACTCTCCAGTTCGTTATCAATTACCATGGCGGTTAATTAAACTACTTCTATAAATAGATTTTCGGACTTTATCGATGTTAAGGTCATATCTATTTAAAGCTTTGTTCCCGTTCTCATTCATTAATATTTCATGCTGCGAATCACCGAAGGGGAGACCAATATATGACTTTACATAATAGAAATCGAAAGGAAATCGTGCTTCCGAATTTATTTAACTGTAAATCGAAGGGATTAATTGATAAAAATCGGGTCCATTGACAAAAATAATAGTAAATACAAATAGCTCCGCGCCTGTGTGCGCGGAGCAATAAATGTAATATACATTATAATGTATTTTTATCCAAGTTATTTATAGAATTGTAATGCTAAAAATAGATGCGATACAAGTTTATTAATAAATCGGACGATATCATGAGCTGATGTTTGATAACATTCTGGTGAAGTGACATATCTATGCACACATGGGATGTTCATGTTATACTGTTTACAAAACGTTTTTTTTCATTTAGTACATTCACATTTTGAGTGATTAAAATGATTGACAAATGTTTTTAGTGGTGCATGGCCGGATTATTTTCCAGTGAGATCTATGACTGAAAGGACAATTGAATGCAATGTTCGCCATGTAAGCAGTATATACCAGTCTATACTACATACCATCTCTTCCTTTAAAGAATATCAACATCATCATAATACTAAAAATACGCAACAAAGTATAGAAATAACATTTACGCAAAATGTTTGTATCTTTCTACTTTAATCGTATTTGATTTTTCAATAAGCGGTTTACACATTATCTTAACCAATTGACATGTTTATCGGAGCAGTCCGCGATAATTGATAACAACAAAAGCACATTTTTGATATTTTTTGATATTTTTTGATAACTATTCACATTATCGCTCATAAAATTTCCCGACATTGACTCTATACTTGACAACTTAAATTGTGGTACCGCATATTCAAACCACTGCTGTATTAGCTACCGGTATCTGGCGAATATGGTTAAAATGCGATACATCTCTAAATTATGTTTTTCCTTGATTATTCTAAACTTTTTATATTAAGTTTTACAATAATTTCCATATTTTAAGTTCGGCTTTTACGAAGAGAAATTTCATGCTTTTCCTACAGTAAGGTTGTCGTTGCCGTTCTCGCCGTCCTGAAACTTTATCATTAATCTACTAGCTATGCGTGGATTGTGGCATTACAACAAACTATTGTTGTTCTTCTTGATGCTGTTATTCTTTAAATTTATTTAGGGCGAAAAATATGGAAGAAATTCATTACGATAAATTATCTTAATAGTATAAAATCTGTGTTCTACAAAATGTAAGGCTGCTTTTGCTATAGATGAGCATTTTTGCAGAACATTGATTTTACACTATTAAGATAACTTATCGTAATGAATTGCCCCCTGAATTTAAATTATTAGACGCTGATACATCAAACAATTTGTAAAGTCATATATTGTTTTACTTTATTAGATTAGCTTTATTGGTATACGAAACACAACTGTAACATATAAGAGACACACTTCATTTCCCTCTTCTTTCTGTACAGTCAAACCTGTAAACAAAAACCACCAAAGGGAAATACAATCATAGTCTTAAATGTAAAGTGGTCTTTATTTGGAAGTTACTTCATCCCATTCTACATGAAGTTTTATTGGAAAGATGCCTTTGCTTTTATGATAAATTTATTCAGAGGTAGTATTTATCTCATGTCTGACTGTAATTTCATGACTGCATTTCATTCCAGGATGCAACTATAGCTGACCTACGGAAGCAAGTTTCTGACATTACCCACATTAAAGATGATGACCTCCGTGTACTCTACTGCAGTATGTATCTACATGTACATATATCTTCTTCACATGTGCTATGTAACATTTGTCGACGTCTATATAAAGAGTGCAGCTGTGAATTTAATCATTGTCCTGTAACATCTCCGTTACAAAGCTCGACTTACAGTCATGTCGACGTACCTGTTGCCGTCCTCAAACTTGTACCTTGTACCTTGATCATATCTTTTTAAGTTCCGGGTGAATTGTCTTCATACTTGGAAACAACGACCCTTTTGACAAGTCCTTCATGTAAACCCAACAAAAAAAACGTTACTTTTCCATTATTAATGACCTTGACCTTTCATAAGGTTATCTTTTCGAAATTTTCTAATTTTAGCTATTTATTTGCCTATAAAGGATTTTTTATTAAGTTTTTAATGATCATTTGAGAGTCCCATCGTGCAAAACTTACAACAAATCTTCTAATAAAGTGCGCTGTTAAGTGAAGTTAACCAGATCAGACTTTAAACTATGTAAAATGATCTAACATTGCGAAGACAAATTAAGACTGAAATTGGCATTTTTTCGCTTTCCTGACTATAAACTGTGTTACTAATTGAATTGGAAATTGACTTTTATATTGTTTGAGAACATATAACAAATTCATGTTTAGGAAATACAAAGATCACACCCGTAAGGAAATGTTCAAAAAACACTCATAATTGGAGACCTTGGGCACCATTTCTGACTTTGATATTATTGAATTGAGACTTTTGCTATAATTGACTTTATCTTGGTAATTTTCAATCTTCATACTTGGACAAAACAACATTTTGGACAAGACTTTCTGAAAGGTTGAAATGACCTTTTCCTTGAGCTTAAATGATCTTGACCGTCCAGGTCAAATGATTATATAATAGTTAAATTTTCATAATTTTGTTTTCTATGTACGGATTTGATTAAGCCTCGGACAAAACAAGACTTGCTACCAAACAAACATTGAATAATTTGGATGTGACCTTGACTTTAAATTAACCTTGACTGTCAAGGCCAAATGAAATTCTCTTGACTTTTGCTGTAACTGGCTATAACTTTGTTGTTTATAAACTTCATATTTAGATACAACATGTTTTTAAGTCAGGACCTTCATGTATATCAAACTCAAATTTAATTGACTCAAAGTTATGGGCTTTTACCCTTTAAGGTTTTTAAAAATTAAATTTTCACTAAATTTTTGCATAATTGGCCAAATTTTTGGGAAATTTGTCAAAAATCATTCCCCTGATTGTAAAGACAAAAATTTTGGGCAAGACTTCTAAAAGCTTGAACTGACCTTGATCTGAGCTTTCAATGACCTTGGCCGTGAAGGTCAAATTATTGAATTTTGGTTAAGTTGTCGTTATTTTGTTATTTTTGCACAGATTTGATTCATTTGTTAACGAAACACCGGCCGTCGGTGGATCTTATTTGATATAGACGTTAAAATTTTTTAAGCGCATTGGCTAGTCTGACATTTTTGAGCAAAAAAAAAAACACGCACATGCACACACACACACCAACACACACACGCATACACACACACAAAAAACAAAAATTACATAATTTTCACCCAAATGAAATAAAACTTTATAACAAGGTCATTAAGTTTATCTTTGTCATAAGAAAACTACACTTGTATTTTTCTTTTTCGTTGATATAGGCAAGGAGCTAAGAGCGAAAGATGAATCAGGAGCTACGCAGACGCTAGAAGATTACAACATCGGAGATCAGGCTAATTTGTTCGTTGTTCTTCGTCTTCTTGGTGGTTCTCAGACAGAAAATGAAGGACAACCGAAGATGTACGACTCGGAGGTACAACTTACTGATAAACCTGATATGTTTACAATGGACGATGAAGAGGGTGGTCAGCGAGCGGAAATGCCATGCAGACATGCTATCAGTATGAATATATCTTTTAATATATTCTTGATAAACACATTTAAAACAACTGTTGCTGTAATGTTTTAATGGTTTCCGCATATAAAAAAGCTTGCTAAGACACTATGAAGAAGGCAGAAATCCTGTAACTACAATTGATTTTTAAAAAAAGATTTCCTTTCATGTTTTGATTACATTTTTGCACTATACATGACTTTGTATGCCTCTGATCCTAGTTTATATCTTGTATCGTTTCCATTGGACCATATTAATATTTCAGGTCCTGAGTCTCTCACAGCTTTTTGTCGCAGTCTTTTAACAGCTGGTAAATTCGAATTTCGATGTCCCTATAAGGCATCAACAGACGCGCCATTCTGCGATCAGATATGGGAATTCTTTACGGTGAAAAGGCTTGCTGTGCTTACCAGTGAAGAGATGAAAGAATTCGAGACGAAGGTTACTGAAAACTATTTGAGAAAAGCAGTGGGTATTCAAGAATGTCCAAAATGTGAGTCCTTTTGTGAGAGGAGGAACAAGGCGGATCAACGTGTTATTTGTCCAATATGCACGCGGAAAAAGGGGAAATTGTATGAATTCTGCTGGTTCTGTCTGCGATCATGGTTAACAAGCGACACAAAAGATTGTGGAAACTTTGGATGCACGGGCAAAGATCCGCGTCTGCGCATTATTGAAAATTGTCCTAAGAAAATGGTTGTCGAGGTCCCAAACTGCCCGGCTATACGTGCCTGTCCGACATGCGGTCTACTTATTGAGCATAAAGAGCAGTGCAAACAAATGCAGTGCCCATGTGGTCAGAAGTTTTGTTTTATCTGTCTGAAAAAGGCCAACACGGCAGGAAGATATCAGTGCGGGGCCTGGAATTTCAAGTGTACAGTGGCGCCTGTTCAAACCGCTATTCCCGGAAATTAACAGTGAAGCAGTTGCAAGTACATTTCAAAAAGTAGTTTATTTAAAAAGCGAATGACTTTAATTTCCTCAGAACTACACGAGTATGTTCATATAGAAAACATGTATAATTACATGTTCTGTTGTACTTGTTCTATTTGTTACTTCGTTCGTTAACGGTTGTTTTAACTTTTTTTATGTAATTTGACTTTTGCTTTGGTAATTTTGCTCGTTTTCTTTTTAAAAGCTTTAAGTGTAAAATATGCTTGTTTTAAAATAAATTTGAATGTTGAAAATTTGCGTTTGAATGATTTTTGGTCGTGTGTTGGCCCTTTAATAAGAAGGTGTTATTTTGAGGTGTTGCCAGCTACACAGAAGTTTGCCCCGTTTACTCCATAGAAACTATTGTTGCAATTTCATTCAAACTTTACAGGAATGACAAGTACCAAGTCTAGTTGGTTTTTTTTAGTTTGTCCGCATCACTTCTCTTATATCAGGATTGATCGGTACGTCAAGTACTTGCTCATTACCGTGTTAATGATTTTTGTGTCTACTGCTACACTGTAGAGCTCTGCAACATGCAATTGGCTATCAAGAGGCGACACATATGATCACTTATTCATAACAATAACACATATATCCCAGGGTAATATGCATACTAGTAACCCGATAACTGAAATAACTCCCGAGGCGGATATGTACTTCAAACATGAGAGACATGTGATATCCGAACCAATATTTTAATATAGTAAGAGTGCGGTCAGGGGAGATGACTAGAACATTACGTTTTCTTAAGACTACATAGATTACTCGCCCCTGGAGAATATGGAATAACACCATGTGACTTAACATTAGGCTAACAGTAAAAAGCTTACGTGAGGTATAATAAGTGTATTAATCTGTCAAAAAATAATAGTAATTTGTAAAAAACAACAACAAAAATATCTCCTAATTTAAGTTTGCAAATTTGAAAAATAACGTATTTATTTATTTATCTTTAACTGTTATAATGTCTGTCAGAATTCATAACTAAATAAATTTTGTGCTCTTCTGTACATATCTTCTTGCTGATATTTTGTACCCATTGCTGAGGAACAAAATAAAATATTTCAAGTTTGTATTATACTATCACTTGGATGTAGTTTGTGAGCTCTTAAACATAGAGCACATTCTTGCGCTTAGTAGCAAAATAGAATTAGCTCTACTTAAAAATAGATTACTAGGCCTTGTACGCCGACATTGAATTTAGAGGCGTTTAACCTAAAGACATGTTATAACGTACATGTATTATGCCATCGCTTTATATTAACAAATAAAAAAGCTATATGAGGGCGAAAATGTAAGAAAATGAAAATATTTAGACTTTGCTAGTTGAATTAACTTTCAATTATTTTATTTTGTTTGTCTTCTTTCTTATTGTTTGATTTGTTTTGTTATTCCTTTTAAAGGTTATACTTTACTTTCAAAAATTATTTTCGTACCCGCTTCCTCTTGTATCGTTTGTTTATAGACATTTCAAGAAAAATCGTGACGAAACTACACTCACGAGGGAGGGGGGCGGATCTGCATCAACTGAAAAATATGCAGTCTGTATGTAAAGTAGCTTTAAACATGCTTGAATTAACTCAACACTTCAACATACTGAGGACCTCAGGCCGTGTAAACATTATACATGGTTGTGTTTATTGTAACAAAATGAAACATGATGTGGTGTTGTGAAGCGTTCTGTATCCGTGGCAGAGATATGTGATATAAAAATTAGTTTCGTGAAAGTACAAGGATGCATATCGACGTCTGTTATTTACCTGATTTAAACATGACGGAAACATACGAGGCATTAAATATTCAAATAGCGGGAGGAAAAAGTTCATACACATTGTTTATGGTAGCTACCTTATAACCACCATTGACTATAATTAATTCAGAATATTGCAAATATAATTATCAGCAAACATCAGTTATGTTTAAATTATTGATATATACACACATGTGGATAGTTGTGATAAAATACATGATGAGTGAATTCTTTTAAAATCATGTTTCAAAGTATATATGGAGAAAAATATCTTTCGATTAGAGAGTTCTTCATTCTACGGTAAGTGTTTGCTTTTTCTGAAGTTATATAAGTTAAAATTTTATTGACAATTTCGTTTAAAATGTCATATTTTTTTTTTGTATAATGAGACCTGTCCATAAACTTTTCTAGATAAAGAAAATATTTTACAAATGCATTTCAATTTTTTACCTGTAAAGGTAAGTGTTTAAGATGACCTTTGTACCACATGTCAGGAGGGTGACCAGCTTATTTCATGTGTACAACGTCAAGTGAACAATCCATAAACTATATCGTTCTATTTACATAGTTTGTTTGTATCTTGTTGTTGTTGTTTTATGTTAAGCCTTACACGAGTCGATCATTAATCAGTCATTAATTGAGTTTGTTATAAGGACATTACCAAACATGCTTCATGCTTTGGGAGGGGGGGGGGGGGGGCTAGATCTTTTAATCATTTGTTAGAAATGTTAATTTAACATAAACATTTGAAACATATGTGTTTTACTGATTTTTATATGACTCTCGGCAATCACATTTAATTTTATTTCATCAAGATATGAAATTTTATGTTACACACAAATGTTGGTACAATATCATAAAAATAATCATATTTATTAAATAGGATTGTATTGTATTATGTCACAGGTTAGCGATCTAACATATCTCTTGTTTTTGTCTTTTAAAATAATTGCGGCTTTTTTAATAATCTTTTTGTTTGTATTCAATCACTCCCCTAAATATTTCTACAGTATCCAAAATGAAATAAACCTCCAGTCATGTAGACAATTACATGCTCTTTTGGTATTAGTGATCTAAATGTAATGTGTATCTAAATGTGTATTTACTTTAATAGCCTGCCTCTGGCCGATTTTACTGTCAGTGTTTCTCAAAGTACATTTTGTGGCTCGCAATCTAAATGTTTCTCTTGTCAATGTGTTCTAAATAATGAAAGGGGTCAGTAAAATCGAAACACAAACGTTCAGTTTAAGGAAAGGTAAATAAAAACTGATAATATAGAAAAAAATATATAGAACAAACCTCAACATCAAGATATCTAATTTTTGTATAAGGAATTAAACCTTTCATAAATCAACAAAATAATTTAGATTGTTACTTGGTTAATTTGGTTAATAAAAGTTGATGAAATATGTCTTTAAATATTGGGGCCATGAAATCAATAGCGATAACCATGGCAGATCTAGGCTTCTTAATTCACTAATCTTGTGTCGTTGTTTTAATTAAAACATTAAAACACACAGCGCACGTGTTTCAAACTGAATTATCAGTTTATCAAAGAAAACAAGATTTCCGTGTGTTTATTTATTTATCTATTTCATTTTGTTTTAAATAAAGTAAACTGAGATCGGTGAATATGTTGTCAGAAAAAAAGTGTAAACGAGAAAACAAACTTATTTAAAAGGAGTCCGCTTAAGTTTCATGACGTGACTGGACCAGAGATGATTTTTCGAGATTAATGTTGCATTTTGTGATGGTCTAGACCTATAATTTCTGTTCAAAATTTCAGGTCATTCACTCAATCAGTTTTTCCGGAATAATATTTTTTTATTGTGAAAAATAATCCAAAATTTTAAAGCGTTGCATATCTTTCTCTCAAATATGACTAAAAATTGCAATTTTTTTAGAAATTTTGACCCGAGTGAATTTCCTAACTTCCAAATAAACTCAAATAACTGTCAATATTTTAAACTTTATAAATTAAAAATCAATAATTTAACGATGCATGCAACTTCATAAAATAAAATATCCGTGCGTGAAGAGTAATAAAACCGATTTGATCACTATCTATCTATTATTCTAACACTTTCGGAAATATTTCTATATAAACAAAGAAGGCCCGAAGCGTGCATTATTCCACAGGCGGCAGTATCAGTGTTTGGACACCCCACCCCTATCTCCCCCTGGACCCCTACTACAACCCTGAAAAAAATTAAACACTCTAAGGCTTACTATAAGGTACCAAATACAAAACCACCGATGAAATTATATAAAAAAAAAAATTTTCCACTATCAAAATTATAGTTATAGAAAGGTGTAAAGCTTACTATATGTCCATTTGCCAAACAATTTGGAACACGGGAAATCGTCGTTTCGGCGACTGAGGCGCATTCCGGCGGGATTTCGCTGCATCATTCATTTACATCAATAAAAAGAACTTGAATTCCACAGCTTACTTAATTCAAGTCCAATGAATATCAATATTCTATCGATTTTTTCTATTTCACGGTAATTTTTGACTTGTCGTTGCCATTTTGGATTCTGATACCTGTGTGTTATACGCGATCTGATTGGACGTCAAATTTGGCTCGTCCAATCAGATCGCGTATTTCAACCCAGGTATCAGACTGCAAAATGGCTACGACAATTCAAAAAATACCGTGAAACAGAAAAAATCGGAATGATAGTGATATTCGTTGGACTTGAATTACATAAACTGAGGAATTCTAGTTCTTTTTATTAATGTTAATGAATGATGCAGCGAAATCCCGCCGGAATGCGCCTCAGTCGCCGAAACGACGATTTCCCGTGTTCCACATTGTTTGGCAAATGGACATATAGTAGGCTTTACACCTTTCTATAACTATAATTTTGATAGTGGAAATTTTTTTTTATATATATAATTTCATCGGTGGTTTTGTATTTGGTACCTTATAGTAAGCCTAAGAGTGTTGAATTTTTTTTCAGGGTTGTAGTAGGGGTCCAGGGGCAGATAGGGGTGGGGTGTCCAAACACTGATACTGCCGCCTGTGCATTATTCTACAACAATGCACTCGCCGTTCTTATTATCTCCCTGTGTATTTGCACATTGAGGGCGCCATTTTGTTTGAAAACTCTGATAAATAAAAACAATTTTTGTCGAATTTTCTTGTGAAAACTTCTAGAATGAAAGAAAATGGTCTAACTAAGAAAATGAATCCGAACACCAATATCTTTTATTTAGTCGTTAACGCTGTACAGACGTTTAAAGTGTTGTTTACGTGACGTCACAATGTAGCGCCAAACAGCACGTGCAAAACAATCAAATCAAGTACGCTATTTTAATGTCGCAAAAAGTTAAGTTTTACATTTATTTCACTTTTAATAATTTGTATTTCGCTTGGAAAATTATAGACTGAAATAAAATAAACAAACAAGGTTTTATTAACGTTTTCAAAATTCGTTATTCTACACACGGTAGATTTAACGACAGTTTTTTTAACCCATTGGAACAGCCTTTAAAGAACGTTTCTATTGGAAACTCAAACTCCTCACAGTGATTACCTCCCTTGGCAGAATTGTAATCACTGCCTTCAAAGACGTCACATGATGATGAAAGTCACATGACGTAACGTCGAAATTCAAATGTAAATATCGACCGTTACAAAGAAAATCTAACGTTATTTTTCTCTTTCTGTTTTATTTTTTACTTTTAGTGCCTACGTTCCATATAGTTTATTAAAAAATTGTCGAAAGTATACAAAATAACGAAAAATAAATTCAAAAGCTAAAAAATATAAAATATCAAAATATCGTCTCGGTAGAAAATAATCTCATAATTTTTAAAATTATTTCTAAATATTCATATTATTTATTTATTTATTCATAAACATTGTTAAATAAATGAGAGAAAACTTATCTGATAGATAAAAGCAGTAGATAAAACAATTTTTGAAAAAATATAGTATATCAGAAATTCTGATATATCGGGACCTTGGTGGCAGAGATCTACGCCGAAGAATTAAGGGGAGATCACTGTGTGGAGATTGTTGGAAACTCTGAGGAGAAAAAAAATTTAATCACCAAACATAAAGTCCAACTTTATAATAATAATTATAATTTTCTTAACGTGTTAGAATTGAAACAGATATTAATTCTTCGTGCATTATTGTATAATAATGCACGTTTTTCGTTCAAATGCTTTGTAATTAATCACTCAGGCCTATCGTGATTATATAATTACTACGCATTTGAACTCAAACCGTGCATTATTCTACAACAATGCACTCATAATTGATATCTATTTCCTAAATTTATTCATCTAAAAGCGTTAGGATAAAATATAAATGAAGGATATTAACAACAACTCGTATGAGAGTCGATAACTGTTGGTAAATGTTTTATTTTTTTTATTTATACAATAATATTTTCTACATTCTATAAACAAACTAAAACTCGGAAATTTTACTTATCATAATCCTTCAGGAAATATACTGTAGTAGGCATACAATTATTAAGTTCTTCAAGTCAGTTTTAACATGTGTCTTGGTGCACTGACAAAGTAAATACGTGTTAAATAACAACACGAGAAGCAAACGACATATTCACCGCGACCCCTCAAGCGAGCCCCTCTGTAGAGTAATAGCCTCTACAACAATGTTCAGTTTCAGTTTACACCGCGACCCCTCCAGCGAGCCCCTCTGTCTACAACTTCTCTCCAAAGTTAGATTTCACACTTCTGAAGCAAGAACAAAACGCTTTCTTTTATTTGGGGACAATACGTCGCTTTTCATGGACTGGCATAAAAGTGTCGCATTGAACATCGCATGAAAACTATCGTATGAACGTATCTGGGAATGTTTTAAAAAAAATTCACAATTTTCATGTTTAAATGATTCTTTTTAAGCCGGTGCCAGGTGCGTGGGCGGTAGTTTGCATAAGACAGTACAGTCCATGAACAGGCACAGCCAAACGGAACCTGCAACATTTTCAATTTTGTTGTTTGAACTTTCTTTATGTTTTTTTTCTCTTCTTTATCTCCCAAATTGTGTTTATCATGGATACTTTACTGTATCTGTATTCATTACACTTTGCATGTAAAGGCCAGTCAAAAGCAGTTTAAAGCAGTATGCCTCCAGATTAATGATATTTTTTTTGAAATTTTTGAAAATGTATTTAAAAGGTAACCAAAAGGAAGCAATTAACACGTTATCAATGGCATATGCAACCCAAGTTAATTACCAAAATGAGGTTAAAATATGCAAAAATAACCATTACTGCGTTAGTAACGCAGTAGAAATATTGTTATAAAAACTGAAGAAAAA